ACAGAAACTGAGCAGAAGACATTAAAAAACTCCCAGAGGGTCACACAGCTAATAAGGGGTGGAAGTTGCTTGGAACGTCAGCAGCCCATCTCCAGTCTGTAATCCTAACCTTAGTGTTATACTTCCTGTAGCATCACTGCCTTGGGCCAAAAGAGACAGATGCACAGAGCCAGGAAGATGGGGGCAGAGAGTGGGTACAAGCTAAGGACAACAGGCATGCAGGAGCCACTGTGAGTGGTTTTCAGCTGGACCTCAGCATCCCCAGCATGCACCGGGATGGTTCAGGCAGCAGGTGACTGTACCTGTGTACAGCAATACAGAGACACAGGATCTGGAGGAACAGTCTGCTGCCATTCTGTAGAATACTTAGAAGTGAATTGATGAGAGGCAGCCCAAGTGCAAGTAGCAAGGGCAAGGGACCATTGGATGCAAAGTCAGTGAGGCTGGCATGTGGGAAAGAGGAACAGGCAAAGAGATGTGCCTCTCAGGCCCACTCGCGATCTCCATCACCTGAACCAGCACGTCCCACATGGGCCCTATCTACATCCTGGGGCTCCTGTGCTGCGTGAGGCTCCTGCAGGAACGCAGCTGTAACTCATGCTCTCTGAATCCTAATCCCAGGTCCCGGCCCCTCACTGAGCACATCCTGTTGGAAACATTTGCAATAGAGTGCACAGAGGCAAGGCTTGTACCCAGACACAACAGACTACTCTGCACCTTAAAGGTGAGGAAGCACCAACAGCACACACACCCCAGGGCCTTTGGCCTGGTTGGAGAAGGGCAAGCAATTCCTATGGAAACTGAGAAGCAGCAGGAGAAGGCTAGAGCAGATGGGAGGAGAGGGAGGCAGGGATGAAAGGGGGGGCGGGGTGGAGGCTGTGACACATACTGCAGGAATGAGGGTGCTGGGCAGGGTCACCTCAATTCCCACCCATCGTGGGCCACGGGAGGCTTGGGAGCAGGTGTTGACGCCCTCACACTATAATCCTTAGTGTGCATGGCCAAGCAGGATTGGAAGGAATGAGAAAGCTCTTGGGCCCAATGCAAGCCTGCAACTGGCTCCCTGATAGGAGCACAGTGAAGGGGAAAGGGTGTGACAGAAATTCCAGATGGGGTGGATCCCTCCTAACCCTAGAGGCTTGAAAATTTTCATCTGTAACTAGCCCCCTGCTGGGCTGATCCAGAACCACACCTTCAGCACCACAGGAGTGCCCAGTGACTAACAAAGTCAAAGAGGTGAGTTCCAACTCCGTGTTCTCCTCTCCATGAGAATTTAGTCCAGTTCTCTGAAAGCCTACGTACAGCAGTCACGTGGCTGTGGACCTGGGGCCTTTTCTGCACCTGCACTGGCCAAGCTCTAGGCCACTCCCTCAAGCACCTTTAGCGTGCTGTTTCCCTGTGAGGACCATCCTGGTATTCTTGTCTGAGTGTGTCCTGACAAGCCTGGGCCTCAGGGGCAAAGAGGACAAACAGATCTTTCCAGAGGGAGGAAACTGTGGGCCGCAGAACTGAAGCTGAGCTGCCGACTTCAGGAAGCTACTCCTGCTGCTCTGCCCAGAGCTGGCCAAGGCTGGCTGGAGGTGATGGCTAGTCCCTCTCCTGCCAGGCCCTGGAGTCACTGTGCAGTGACCTTGAATGCTTCTCCTCTATTTTGCAAAGGTCCAATCCTTCAGACAGCACCTCTCTGAACATCTTTGCGTCCCCTGACGATGTCTACAACAATCAGGGGAAAAACAAAACACCAGGCCTCCTGTCCTTTGTGGGTTGTTTACAGTAAGATTGTACATTCTTCCTGGGAACACAGAAGCCTCAACAAAAACTGGTGTTCATTTCGCCATACCAGATTTCTACATGAAACGTGTAACATCGGTTTCCCAACTCAAGGGCTGTCCTTGCCCTCTAACGGGAGGAGCAGGAGACAGAGCTAACCCATTTACCCTTCACTGAAGCAGTGATCACCCCCAGGGACAGGCAAGGCATAGGCACACACTGTCCTAGGGGCGCCGTCCGACCACTGCAGGCAGCAGGCCCACCCTGGGGCCCAGGGCGTGGTGCTTGGAACACCAAGGTGACACCTCTCAGGAGGCACTTGAATTAGCTGCAGGCCAGGGCTTCCTGGTGAGGGAAAGAAAAGCTTCTCCCTGTCACAAAGCCGAGCATTTTCCCAGCTCTCCCAGTGGGTTGCCAAGTGACTCAGCACTGGCCCAGTGTGGGCACTATTATTGATGAGAAATCTTCCGCCTGGGTGATATACTGCACACACCACATGCCCAGAGAACAGTGCCAAGTCATACCAGGAAGAGAAGGCGAATTATTCACCTCCACTTCCAATGCAGGCAAATTCTTTCTTAATGCAGAAGGCTACTCAGTATCAGAACTGCAAAGCCCTAAGAGAGTCAGAGATTTCCACGTAAGATCCAAAGAATTTTAAAGCAGAACCTCTCCTTTCTTGCTGACTATTAAAAGGCAATCAAATTGAGGACAGCAAAGAAAAAGGGTAAGAAAAAAATAATTTTTCAAAAACAACCTCAGAGTAGAAGGCTGCAGAAAAAACCTTCAGCTTGTGGGGTTCTTTGTGAGTACTACGAGCTCCACCCAGAGGTCATTGCCAGAACTGCAGATTCGTTTAATTTCAACAAATCTTCCCCCTTCCAGAGGTCCAGAGCTATCCGCCTCACAGACTGCTGGAAATTCTTGAGTCACATCCCTCTTTCTTGCCTTTCATTAAAGGAACGTCTCTGAACTCTGAAATACAAAATATACTCGGGGAACTTGATGAGATCCAATACGACATTTGCCTTTGATATGTGTACCTGTTGAGGAACTTGCCAAGTTGCTGGCAAGCTGAACTCGGTTTAAAGAAAGCAGCAAGTTCAAAGAGTACTTTCAGAGAAAAAAAAAACAGCTAGCTCTCAGTGAAATCAAATGGAAGACTTGAGAGCAACTCAGAGGAATATGTCTAACGTTAGGAGGATTGAGAATGGCCTCCTTACTAGCACATCACGAAGCGAAGATACATTGCAATAGACATCGCTACTCCAGAATAAAAGGATACCCAATGAAACTGTTAAATAGGGCTTGAGAATGAGATACCAGACTATCTATCATTGTCTATACCTATTATGTCATGATACACTTTAACAGTAGAATGTTGGACTTATGACTGTTGCTGAAGGATTATACTATTGTAATGTAATGATATGGGGGGGAAACAGCTGGTGGGGGAGAATGGGGAAGGAGGAAGGGGAGGCAGAGGGGAGAATCCCTGTGACTATGGAACCATATTGTGAAAAATAATGATAAAAGAGAATGGCCTCCTTCTAGAAGGACCCATGGGGTCCACGCACTCAAATAGAAAGCACCCATTCACTCATGCAGTTCACGGGATCCCCAGGGGTGGCAATTTCAATCCAATATTCTTGGGAAACTAATTGCAGTTTTTAGAGTATTATCCATTTGCAACACACACACACACACACTCACACACACACACCACACACACACACACACACACACACACACACACACACACACACACACACACACACACACATTCATGTCCACCAATTCATGCACAATTCCTTTGCAGCCCTCAAAGGGTCAAACTAAGAGACCCTTAAGACGCTGAGTGTTCAACTTGCCAGCAGGAGACACAGTCTGTCTCAGTACAGGCTGGCTCGGCACATCACCGAAGCCTTTACAAGACAACAATATGTGGGTGCCGAAAGTCCCATGTACCATCTGCAGTTTGCCATCGCAGCCCGGTGCCCATGCCTTTGTCAGCTTGTGCCTTCATGACTTCAGACAGCTTTGACAGATTTTTGAGAAGGAAAAAAATATCAAACTTACCCTTCTCTTCTTCCAACACTCCTCCCCCTCCACCATCACCACCCAAGTTCTTCCTTCACTATAAACACTGGACAGCCTTTTCGCGTCCATTGACGAAAATATCTAAGGCAGTGTTTATTCAACGTGTGAGGAATCAAGCTCTCCAACACATCCTTGCACATTTGGAGTTCAACAAGGCTTGGCCTTCTTTGTTTTTGTGTTCAGCACAACTCGATACGACTCCAACCAGCATTACGTGCGCCTGCTCATGAAGGCCATCACCCCGAAGACTGGCTCAGATGGCGGTATGCAGCTCACACCTGTGAGCCACAGACCAGAGGTTGTTGGAGAGGAGCCTACAAGGCGACAGCATCATGCCTTCAGTGATGGCTCTCAGCATGGGAGTGCTTCGGGAAACCCTGTCTATAAAGAAGGGCTACTACTTTCAGAAGCTCCCATGCTACAGAGCATATGGAGCAGGTGTATCTTACCCTCAGAGCTAGCTCCATGAGAGCACTTGGAGTTCAAGATGCATCCCCATTCTTCATTTGGAAACAACATCGTTGCTCATGTTTTGATCATCTTGCCCCAACTTGCTGCATAATTTCTGGAATTTTTAAAATCCTATCACTGATCTGACCTGTGTTGTACAGCTGATGCTATTAAGGTCATTTGTACAAAATGAAGAAAATCAGTGTGCTTGGTGATGGGAAAGGGTTTGTCCCGAAGACACTTGCACACATCGTGCCCAGAACACAAGGACACATGGCCAAGATGGCTTTTTCTTCTTCTTTGTGTCTCGAGGGTTCATTTGCCAGCTGTTCCTCATGGCTCCCCACTGCTTTGCATTCTGCAGTATCCAGCGACAGTTTAAGGCAAGACTCACTAGGCAGCAAGCCACGGTGCTCTTACAGATAGCAATTAGAAGAGATGGAACGGCTGAATTGCAAGGTGTTAGGAAATGCAGTTCAAGAAGGAAGCAGTCAGATTTTATTTTCTTTTATTTGCTGGTGATGAAATCTTATAGATTTCTCCAAAAGCAGACACCTAACTCTAGGGTCATTGAGAGTCAACTGTTCAGTCAATAGAAAAATCAACTACACAATGTCAAGCACAAAAATCTATTCAACCAAAAGCCTATTTTTTTTCTTTTAATCAAAAGGAATCCCTACCTTTTCTTTGGCTTTCTTTTTTGTTGCTGCATCCATCCACTCATTTTCTTTCTCCAGCATGTCAATAAAGGCCCAGCGAACACCTTCAATCAATTCCTGCATCTATGAGAAAATATCCAAAGAAGCAGAGTCAGTGTAAAGAAGTCCTCTCGATGAGATTTTTCTGAGCCCAAACTGAGTTGCAGGAGTAGTGGTCCAAGGCTCAACGTGGTGAGGTGGAGGCTATTGCAGCCCAACTCCATGCGCTGGCATCATTTCTTTCCTAGAACCAAGCTCTTTTCCCCACCCATCAAAAATAACTGACCGTTTCTACCCATTTGATGGCCTAGCTAGAAAAGGGTTGTATGAGGGAAGGGGAAGAACTGCAGGTTGTGACTAATAGCCTAGCTGTCTGTAGCAACTAAAGGGGTCCATCCTAAGCAAATTAGCAGCTAATTTCTTTCATTGACAAAGAGCGTGGGAGAGACAAGGGTATGGGCTATATGTTTTAGGGAGTTATTGGACAAGAACATGAAGGAACACTGCAAAGTGATACTATTGAAAACACACACACACACACACACACACACACACACACACACACACACACAGGGAGAGCTAGCACCCCAAGGGACACGTTGCCAACCTGAATTAGACTTATGCCAGGAAAAATTCACTGAAAATTTAGCACCAGCAGTTAAGCCAAAGACCTGGCTGTTCTCTTAGTATTTGCCTCCTCTTGTCCCTACTCCCTGACAGCTCAGAAAAGTTTCATTACTGTAAATGGAAAATAGGAGAGCCTAGAGCAAGCTTCTGCAAGAACATGTTCTGCAAGACATTTTGGAAGCATGAGGACAGTGATGCCACCTGGATGCTGAGGATGCGTTTGCCATGACCTGTAGGCCAGGACAGAGGGATGGAAGAAAAAGAGATGTAGACACAGAATCAGAAGATACCACTGTGTGAGAACTTCCTCCCAGCCTATTTATAGCATGCTATTGTCCTGTAGACATGCTTTGGCTTTAAACAAAATTCCAAAATGTCCAAAACAGATGGGACTGGGGAAGAGCAGAGCCAAGAGCCTGGAATTCAATCTAGTCTCTCACAAGGGTGGCAGGGACCCAAGCACTTGAGCCATCACCTGCTGCCACCCAGGATGCACATTAGCAGGAAGCTGGAATTAGAAGTGGAGCCAGGACTTGAACCCCACACTCTAACATGGGTTGTGGCTGTCCAGGAGGCAGCTTAACCACTAGGCCAAACTATTGTTTCTACTCTGGCTTTCTTCACGAGACACTGAAGAAAGAAAAAATACTGAGTTCAGCCACAGAAACAAACTTACATTTCAGATTATGTAAATCAATCTTTAACATGAATTCTAGAAGAAAAGAAGTTTAAATATTTTCTTTGTTCTACAATGCATTGTGAGCAGGAAGCTCAAAATAATTTTTTTCTGTTTAATAAGTTTTGAGCTATGTTTTCACTCAATAACAGTTGTAAGGGAACCAGAGCCGGAAATCAGTGGGCTGGGTTCCATCATATGTAAATAAGAACAAACAGCAGATGGAAGGGGGTGGGAGGGGCCTCACAGCTAGTTCTTCCCAACTTCACGAAAACATTAGAAGAAGGGAAACTTCAGCTTTGGATTGGAGCATGATAAAAAAAATACAAAATCATGGTGGAGCAAAGATCTTTCAGAAAAATTATCAAATCAATGGTTCTCAGTTTTGTCTATACACTGGCATCTTGGGGCGGGGGGAGCTGTTTGAAAAGCCCCCCAGTGCGTATGCACGTACACACACAAATAAACACACACACCAAGAAAAGAAAACTTGAAATCCAGGTGTCAGAATGCCGACGTCATGGGCCTAAGGTCTAGCCTAGATGGTGGGTGTTTGCAAAGCTCCCAGGGAGACTGGCACACGAAGCCATGGATAAGAGCATGCTCTCCAGGGAAACCATTTATTTTCCAGATGAGGAAATGAGCTGAGAGGTCATGGCTGGCTCAAATTCATTCAGCATGTGGAAGGTCAGAGCCAGACTCTGCACATGCATGAAGGCGCCCCTCCCCACTCCTCACTGCAAATGAAAGGAAAAAGCTAGGGAATGGAAGAGAACCAACCAGAAGACAACAGAGTCACCACTTTAAACAGAAATCCCACATGATTAATATGTGAACACAACAAGGCACACTCCAAGAACAAGATCTTCCATCAATGCGGTCAGCAGCACTCTGTTCTTGCATAGTCAATCTATGACCTTATTACACGGCACCACGCACCAACCAGACCATGCTCTCCAGACAGAAAGACAAAGGTAAGGTACAGTGATGGAGATGGAGAAGGAGTACAAGGACTTTAGAAATTTGGAGCTCACCTAAAAGCTCCCAGGTGATTCATTCATGTGGGGAGATGAAGAATTCAACAGTGCGATGAATTCCTAGGCTTCAGGCATAAGCAATACAGTAGATGCTACAGTCATTCCCCAAGAGATGGGGCATTGGAAGAAAAGGAAGACTGCAAGCAGAAGGCAGAAGGAAGACAGCACTGGGATGAGGAGTGTAGGAACATTGGTGATGGCAAGATCAGGACAGCCCCAGCAGCAGTTTGCCCACACAAGACGGAAGACAAGGACACAGAGTAAGGGAGACTCTCCAACTTTGGGGGCTAGGTTTTGGGTACTGACTTCTTGTTGCTGCTGAACACATACAGAAAGGTCCCAGTGGAATGAAGTGGTTGGAAATATTGGAGAGAAAGCCATGCATGATCTCTCATGGTCCTAAGAGAAAGCAGAAGGGTTTGCTATGGCATGACTCATCCCAGGCCAGAGACAGGGCTATAAGAGAAGAGAATAAAATGATGGACGGGCATACAGAAGAATGTGCAGATCAGAAGATCAAGAGTATTGTGTAGAACATTCATATGCCTCTCCCCTCATGAATTAACATTGAGGTACATAGAAAGGGAGCTTTCTAAAAAAACTCATTTTCTTAGTTCTCTGCATGCTGGCAACACGCACATATTGCTGAGAAGACAGGAATTCACAGATGAGGACAGAGAGGGCAACAAAAGACTTCCACTCGGGACCCTGGCCAGAGCACTGAGTCAGCAGACAGCAACCAAAGAATGGATCAAATACTTAGTGTGTCCAAGTAAAATATTTATTTAAAGATTTATTTCTATTGGAAAGGCAGATTTACAGAGAAGGAGTGGCAAAAAGATCTTCCATCTGCTGGTTCACTCCCCAAATGGCCACGATAGACAGAATTGAGCTGACCCAAAGCCAGGAGCAAGAGCTTCTTCCAGGACTCCGATATGGGCACAGGTTCTCAAGGTTTTGGACCATCCTCCATTGCTTTCCCAGGGCACAAGCAGGGAGCTGGATGGGAAGCAGAGCAGCCAGGGCATGAGTCAGTGCCCATATGGGATCCTGACACTTACAAGGTAAGGATTGAGTAACCACTGAGTCATTGCACTGTGCCCCCAAGGAAAATATTTATGTGCGATAATGTAAAAGAAAACTGCCCTTCAGGCTGGTATGGTGGCTTAACATGCTAATCCTCCACCTGTGAGCACTGACATCCTATATGAGTGCCAGTTCATGTCCTGGCTGCTCCACTTCTGATCCAACCCTCTGGTTGTAGCCTGAGAAATCAGCAGAGGATGGCCCTAAGCCTTGGATCTCTGCACCCATGTGGAAGACCCAGAAGAGGCTCTGTTTCAGATTGACTCACTTCTAGCTGCTCTGTAGCTATTGGGGAATGAACCAATAGATGGAAGATCTCTTTCTTTCTCTTTCTCTTTCTCTTTCTCTCTCTCCTTGCCTAAGTGTTTTTCCCATAAAAATAAATGTTGTTAAAATGAAATGCAGTTTATTTTGGGGGCCAAATGGGCCCAACTAGAAACCATTATGCTAAGGGAAATGAGCCAATCCCAAAAGGTTAAATACCACATGTTTGCCTTAATTTAAGATGAAATGATGTCAATCTGGAAAATAGTACCTGTATATTTTAATATTATTTCAACCTCAAACAGCCTGTATCTAATGCAATAATGTGATGTAATCTATGAATCAACAATCAATGTGAGTCAGACTGCTTATGATCTACATCAAAGAACTGTAAAACCTAATACACTTTTAATACCCTATGTTATTCTGTAATGGGGAGGGAGAGCAGAGAAACCTTCCATCACCCTAGAATGTGTGAGGAAGACATGAAGTATAACCTATCAGGATCATAACTGGCAACTCATAGACAACAGACTCGAATCTGCATTAGACAATAGAAAAACTATAAAGGCATATGGGGGGGTCCAAGAGCAAGACTGACAACCTTTAAACAGCAGGTCATATGCATGGAGCGGGGGGGGGGGAGGGACCCTAGAGTGGAGCAGGGGGACAGGAGGAGGCTTCCTAAAGACTCCCAGATCCTCACCAAGGACTATCAGTACGATCACCAAGGACTACATCCCAACTGCCAAGGAGACCAGGGGGAATTGGAGTGCCTTTGAAGGCCGAGAACTCTGAGGTCACCCACCCCCATCTGGATCTACCACATGGGATGGAAGAAGTCCAAATCCTGCCTTGCAGGATCCAAGGTCATCGGAACAACAGCCAGGAGCCCTGAGCGGTCCGCAGAAACAGAACAGTAAACTTCCTCCGGGACTAAGGAGTGGAGCTTTCTCTGGTCCTTGCCTGGTTCCGACTTTGGGTCCCCACCCTCTCTCGCAATGGCCATCAGGATCGCTCCAGAAACCCCTCAAAACAAACAAACAAACAATCTAGAATACATAGAGAACAACCAGGAAAGCTTGGAATCAGACAGGAAATGGTCAGTGGGGATGCACTTACACCTCATTAGGTGGGACACAAAGATTAATTACTCCTCATTAGGGTACTGAAGATTTCTCTGCACACCCCTCCTAAAACTGTTCACCTAAACTGTTGACACATGTCTTGTTAGAGTTGTAGAGTTAGACTACCTGAAAAACAGCCAGATTCAGCAAAATTATGCTTCAACACTATAAACTGCTAAATACTTAAAATAGACATGAGACAGCTGAATAGTAATCTATAGCCATTTTAAGGTGTATAGAACCCGGTTGTATATAAACTAACAATTG